AATATCATCACTTGTTATCGATATTAGTAAAGATGAAGAACACATTGCAGTTTTTAAAAATGATGTGAATAATATTGTATTTTCAAAAATCTTTACTATGTTCATCAATTTACAATATTTAAGCTTCGGTCCATGGACAAATTTGCGACCACCATCTTTATTTGAGATGCCATATCCAAGTGCTATTTCTTCAAATCTGTTAGAATTACATATTTGTGGAACTTTCTTTACCGATTTGCTTTATTTACTTGATGGACGTTTTAATCAACTTCATACATTTCATGTTAATATTATATTCTTTCACTGCACCACTTCAACAATTCATAGTAGGGTAAATTATTTCTGATTAATATTCAATAGATTGAATTTTGTTTATCTTTTCTAGGAAAAATTACCGAATCTAAGATATTTTTCGTTACATTCTAATACGGGTCTACATAATTATGATGAATCAATTGTACCACTTCTACATCGGATGTTGAATTTAGAAAAACTTGATTTACAACTTGTGGTGCATCGTAACAAAGGATTCATTAATGGAAATGATTTCAAAGAAGATATTATCAATAATATGTCAAGATTAAATAAATTTACATTTAATATTCGTTTATTCAATTATCTTCCTAATCAAACTAATATACTTTCAAATGAAAATATTCAATGTAAATTCAAAGATTTTAAGAGTAATGAAATTATTTCTTGTGTTGATTATTTTCAAGAAAAACAATATAGTTATTGTCATATTTATTCATATCCATATAGAATGAATTATTATGATAATATCTCAAATAATTTTCCAGGTGGATTATTTAAAAATGTTCATAGAGTATCATTATTTGATGAACGTTCATTTGAACATGAATTTTTTATTCAAATTCAGAAATCATTTCCATTTATGAAGGAATTAACTGTAATTAATGCAAAACCGCAGAAGAATAAATTATATAGAAAATCAAAGAACGACAATCAATATTTATCAATTATTAAATATCCTCATCTAACTGAACTCTGTCTTCTTCAAGCTCATGATGATTATGTCGAACAATTTTTACTTGATACGGATGTATTTATGCCGAATAATGTCCATCTTATTGTCTATTATCAAGCAATGAAAAGAGTTACAGAAAATTTCACAAGACATGCAACACGAGTTAATTGTGCCAAACTGGCTTCTGTGTCTCTACTTGATACGTATAAATTTATTAAACCTGTAAAAGACTATTTTCCTCGGGCAGATAAACATTGATTATTGTAAATAATTATTGTAATAAAACATGAATAAAAACAGATTAAACATATTAAAATTGAGAGAAAAGAATAAAGGAGAATACTAATAGTTCCAAATCAATATCACTTGAGACATTTTTACGAATAAATGTATGCTCACTAACTTATGCATGTGTTTTTATCAAAAATCATAAATAGAGAATATTATTGAATATGGAAAGAATAACAAAATATTGTTCAATGTTGTCATTGAATGGATAGAGAAATTTTTTAAGAAGAGTGTACAGAATTTTTTCCATTCTATGATCTTTTTCTTTAACAATTAAATTGATTTTTGCTGCCAAAAAAAATATTTTCTATGGAATTTCATTTTCGTTTCAACCAGAAAAAGTGCCACGTAATGATTATGAACTGCATAGAGATTAAATTCAACAAGATGAATATATTTAATAAATGATAAATCTTTATTGTTTTTCTTTTTATTCTTCTATAAAAAAAAGTGATGGATGAATTCCAAGAAAAAAATCATCTTCAAATGGATGTTCATCATGTAATGGCACGATTCTTCTGCTTGATGAACAATTTCTTTATAAATTTTTTTTTTTTTCATCAAGATATTTATTGAGTTTGTTGATTATTTTGAGTGTTTTTTCAACAAATTGATCAATGTGATGGATTTCGGTTGGAGAATTGCTTGAACTACAAAAAGAAATTCTTTTTATCAATATCTAAACTACTTAATATTTACCTTTGAAGACCTAAATGTATGTTTAAGTCAAATGATGCAGAATATGATTCATCATTGATCTAAAAATTGCAATCAAATTTGTCAATTTTTTCTTTGCTCTTACTTTTACATTAAATATATAAGAACCATCTACAATACAATGTGTAGTAAATAGAAGTTCTTGACCTTTTGTATAAACGATATACAAAGTATTATCATGTTCTAATTTTAATGTTTCAGCTGTCTTTTATTAAAAAAAAGAAAATTTAATATTTTTTTTTTAAAAACAAACTTACTGTTGTTTTATCAATGAAAATTCGAAATCCATAATTGATCATGAAATAATGTAAAAAGACGATCAACCGATCTTTTGGCGTTTTCCAATTACCATTATAATAAAATAACAGAGTCGTTTCAAGCAAAGGGTATTTTTCCATCTAGAACTGAAACAAGAATTTGATATATTCTTGTTAATGGTGTTCGATCTCGAAAAGAATTATTTGAAGATGAAAATCTATGAAGTGATGAATGCTTATGATTTTCAGAAGATAATTTTACTTTATTTGAAAGATCATCAGTAATAAGATCACTACTTCGTCCATTTGTTGTAGCACGTGTTAATACAGTTAATTTGGGATGAGATTATTTTTCTTTTTTTACGTTCAATATTATGTTTAACAATTGGTTGCAATTCTTTACGTGCTTCCATTAAATCATCAATATCATGAAAACGAAGACAAATAAATGTACGTTTAAAGATAATTCGGAAGATCTAAACTAAATATATTCAATATGCTTTGTCTTATGCCGATTAAATAAATGTTGAATTTAAATCTTTGAACTGCTCATGTAACAACATATAGGTTAGTTAACGGTGAAAAATAGTCAAATTTTGGAGGCAGGAATACCTGTACATCTGATCGATTCCAAACAGAAATTCGCTGAAATCAGACATGAGACTATAGATTTGACTAAATTCATAACTAAGACGCTCCGCCTCCCTTGATATACTATTATAGAAGAAGAAACATTTGTCTTTCGTACAAGGAAAATGTCAGAATATATATTTTTTCTTGTTGAAAGTCATCTATTCAATACTACTAGATTTAGTTTCGTATGTCTTCTATTAGATAAAAACTTCAATTCTTCGATTTTGATATTTCTACATGATTAAATATCTTTGATAGAGCACCAGTTAATTTGTATAATTGAATCTCATATTGAATCAGAAAACAAAGTTATACTCTTCATTGATGATCTTGTCGAGCTTTAGACTAACACTTGTTGATTGTATATATTACATAGGTCAAAGAATATCTATTTTTTTATCTTAATCTTGATCTAATATTTCAATTACCTAAATCTTCTTTAGCAATTAGATCAAATGATAAACATCGATTATGATATCGTTTAGATAGATAAGCATAAACATCCTTTTCTCGTCCAAGCTTTGTTTCAACATAAAAATATGGTGGATAGATAAGTGAAACTTCAAATCGATCACCTACTTCACCAATAGAATAAAGATTAAGTGCTGATACAAATCCTCGACGTTCTTCATTAAATAATTCATATGATTGTAAATTAGAAAGCCAACCAATACGTTCTTCAAATCCTGTACAACGTAAACATCCATATAATTGATCAATACGATCTGATTGATGTAAACATTTAAGACGTTTTTCAAATGATAGATTACGACCAGCTGATAGAATAATATCTTCAATAAAATCATCATTATTTCCAACTTGTTTTTCAAATTCATCTTCGTTCATTTTTTATCTAGAAAATAAAAAAATACATTAATTATATATCACTAAAGATACAATCAGCTGAGAGAGGAGATAAAGAATATTCATAGAAACAAATACTAATCCTCAGCAATACATATATTGGACGATATGATGGATTTTCATATTCAAAATCATGTGAACATCTACCAGAACGTAAAAATTCCATATAATATGATTGAACTGATTGATTTGATGGAAACATTTCTATTCAATATACAAACATAAATAAATCAACAAAATAGTTGTTTTCGTTTTTTTTTTATAAATAAGTAGATCGCATTTACTAGTTTCGATAGATGATTTATTGAATATGTGTTGTAATGATGATGTCAGGCAAAATTCTTTCTTTCTATCACTGCCTATTTAAATAACTGGATGAAGAGATAGATAGCAGAGAGAGAAGTAGAGGATGTCGGCGGACGTATGTGTGTCTTCACTTTCTCTCTCTCTCTCTCTCTTATTTGTTCTGCTTTGCGTACATGTGATGATACTTCCAGTATCCATAACACACAAAAGAGAAGTAACAACATACATACACTTGTTTGAAAACAAACAGTTATATTGTTCTTCTCTTTTTTTTTTCTTTACTAATTTAGAGAATGAAATGGAGTTGGTTTTCTCCATTAATTGTATCGGACGAGTGAAATAGAGAAAAATATATTTTTAAGATCACAACATTAATTTTAGCAATAGAAAATTTTTAATTGTTATTTTTTTGTTTATATTCTCTCTCTCTTATATTGTTGTATAATAAAAAAAAAACTAAAGACCACCAAAACAAAATCTAAAACTGAGAAAGAGGTTTTTGTCTTTTTTTTAATGTATGCTTATTAAAATTGATTTTTATTTGGTATCTTTAAGAAAATATCCTTTATTAATAAATTCATCTCTTGCAGCTAATCGTACAATTGAATCATCAGCTACAGCCATCATTCGAACTGAAACAGTTAAAATATATGCACTAGTTTTTCCTGTAATTCTTCCTGTTTTTTCGTCAACTTCATCAGCTATATCCAATTGAATAGCAGCATGATCTGTTGCTACTATTATTTTATTAGTTGCAGCATATTTTCATGGAATATATAATTGAATTTGTTCTGCTATTGGTCATGTATCTGTATGTTACCTTTTTTAAAGATAATTTAGATCTAAGATCAATAAAAAAGACACTTAGCTTTTTTTTATTTAATTAAAAGGAAAAAACAACAACAAATCAAAAACAGGAAACAAAAGGAAAACAATGTTTTCCTTTTTTTTAAAAGTTTTTCTCTAGTGAAAAATTAATTTTGTTTCCAAAAATCGGCATTTTCTGTAATACGTCAGTGAAGATTATTATACCATGTTTGAATAATATTTAATGGAATAATTTGTTTGGATATTCGAGAAACATTTTGAAAAAATGATGTTATATAATAAAGAAAATTATTAAGCATTTTTGATAGAAATTCAACATTTGATGTAACTGTTCATAGTGTTATATCGTGTCGTTGAGCTTGTTGTTCAAATTATGCTAAAGGTTCAATACTTATACCTAATAAACCATCACTTGGAATAGTTGTTTGATGTTGAAACCACTAAATAGTGTTGATACTAATGATGAACCACGTCTCGATTCATTATCTTATATAGAAAAAAAAACAGAAAGAATTTATCTTAAAAAAGAAACAATACTTTTAAAAGAAAACCTTTTATTTTATTGATTTTAAAAATTACACTAGATTTTGAATTTTTTATTTTTCCAAGATAAATCCATGATAGTCCTTCTATACTTGACCAACTAAAATAACATAAAAATGGACAAAAAGTATCGATAAGAAATAGATATTGTTTAAATATGACATAATAGTTGCCACCACCATCGAAATTTTCTGTAAATGATATTTGACCAGTCATGAATACAACAAAATGATTTACATGATCAACATCAGATATTGAAATTATAAATTGAGTTTGGCTTACTTGTTGAAAATTTACTTGAGACTAGAAGATTTCTTGTCAATTAACATATAACTTACTAATCGATCAGCAATTCGTATTAAAAATATAACTTAAATGAAAATCTCTTTTCTTTTAATAAAAACTTATCTACAGTAGATATAAGTATCGATATATTGTTACTTACATATTGAAAAATAAACAATCACAAAAAAGAAAAACAAAACAAATCAAATCAATGAAATAAAATTTTAATTGGTCGATTTCTTTGTAAATGTTTAAGTCATTTATATAGTTGATGTTTTATTTTTCATAGTAATTTTTCTATAAAATCTAATTCTATTTTTAATTTATCTTGTTTTATTTGATTTGTTTGCTCGTCATCATCATCATTATTATTTATATAACTATGAACCATAATATGTTCATCAGCAGCATGTTGTATTGCTAAACCTTTATTATGTATATCTTCAATTAATTTTCATTTTCATTTTAAACCAGATAAATTAAAAAAGAATTAGAAGAAGTACAAACGCATATCAATGCATATGCAAATTATAGTGCACCACAAAATGTAAAATAGTTGAAAAAGTATTATTAGGAATTATTGGACATAGCTGAAGGGATAAGGAGGTAAGCATTTTATATTCATCAAAGACGTCACCATATTTATTTCATGTGTTCTTTTTTTAGATGAAGTTTTCAAATCGATGGAATCTAACAAAGAAAATTATAAAAATTTTCCTCTACCACCAACAACATGAAGGCGCAAATGATATTAATTTTTATTTTTTGAACTTCAAATACTCTTTTTGTTTGTAAGCGTTGTTTTGTTTTTCTGGGATTATGTATTTGTCTGTATAATTCCTAGTCAAAATTGACTGATGTATTTTTTTTTCCTGTACAATAAATAATGATATATATATAAAGTCACAGTTGATGTAGGAAAGCAAGAAGACGGAATAGATAAATATATGAAGAACGAGAAGCAGAGAAAGCTATATAACTAGAACTAGTCACACTACCTAATATCTCCTTTATATTTAAATAGCTTTATCCAGATGGTAAGCACTGATTAAAATCAAAATTAAATCACATAAATTATTCTAACTTATTTTTAATCGAATAAATCACCTTAACTTACTGTAATTGACTATAAATCATTTAAAATCAAAGATTTTTTTAAGTTTCCAAAGTAAGACAGAAGACAAATAAAATACCAATTTTCGAAGTTCTTAACGTGACATCAGATTCAACTACAACAATACAAAACGTACTAATATGTTTAAACTAACCATTGCTGACCTAAAAAATAATACGATTTCAAAAACCACTTCATTGAAGTTGTATTTTTGAATGCACAAGTACATCTCGCATAAAGATCGATACTTTGAAAAAATGCTCCTATCAGCCTTTGATTATTTGTTAAAAACGACCGGCAAAATAAATTTTCCTAGAGAAATCTACTGTGTGCAAAAAAACAACATTATTTCTAATACAATAGCGTAGACAATAAATCAATAATTCAAAAGAAAAAAAAAAATTTATTGTGATATCT